CAATTATGCAATCTGTGTACACATTTTAGTTGAGGCGTGGCCCCCTCGGGCTTATTAAATTGTGTGTTCGGCCTGTCGCCCTAAAAAATCTCAATGGGTAAGCGAATGCGAGCGAATGCAAGGAAATGCATCGGCTACAGAGGTCACTCGCAAAGCCGCCCTTCTCAAAGCTGAGCTGAGCTCTCCTTCCACTCTACTGGCCTGCCCCCACTCATCGCCACCATACGCTGCTGGCGATGACTTTAACATGCTTTTTGCTTATTATTCAACAGCTTTGAAATTAAATAACACTTAGAGCACTTTGGCTTTGACCCTAAGACGGCCAAGTAGTGGATTCGGCGAACCTTCTCAAAGTAGCGCCGGCCTCCAGAAAAACACCGTGCGGCGAAGCTTTGGCCAATTGTGGCAAAAGTGCTAATTTAACTCTTTGCTGTTTCAGATCCTCTGAAAAATCTGAGGGGATAACTTGACCACGAAATGCATTTGCTTCGAATGTGACAAATATACCCGGAGATTCGTGTTTTAAAAACGTAAGGTAGGCGTCGCCGTCTCGTCACAAATCGCTTGGGATACATGCCTTTTTGTTTTGCTTCATACTTTTGCTTGTACAGGTGGTAAGTCTTCGCATGTGCTACAGCAATATTATGCATGCACTTGTAATATTGGTCGCCTTCTTGAACCGGATCCAGGTCGCCCAACAGGGTGCGAAAGTAGTTGCAATATATGTTAGGCTCATTAATAGTGTTCCAGTACTTAACCTGTGAATGGTTCAAATGTCTCAGAACAGTCCTAGTAAAGCATACATTGACGGTACTCTTCTAAATCTAAATGAATAAAGGCCCACGCAGTCAACTTAGCGAGCACTGTTGATAAATTCGACGGCAAATGTATACGGTACGGCACACCACGTAAATTGCCTACTCAGGCCAAAATTTTTTACTTTAACGGTGCTCACTAAAGCTTGCAAGTATCACTGTCAACGCAGTCGACATTTTAAGTACCGAAATTTTGGTATTCTCTAAAGGTGCCCCCACAATGAGCGCGAGGCGATGCCGGGTAGGCGATGCCGTGCAGCCAGGCCGTGCTTGCAGGCCGTGCCGGTTGCGCGGAGCTACGCCTCCGATCTTCTAAGTAAAGCTGTATTCGCATGAAAGTGGTTAAACCTGCCGGCACGGCCTGCAAGCACGGCAAACCCGGCATCGCCTCGCGCTCATTGTGGGGGCACCTTAAGGAACGCAGTGTTTTGCTATTTTCATTGTCAAGTGTTCTCCGAAAACACAACGATTAACATGCCAATCGCCCATTCCAAATCGAAGTCCAAAGTCAAAGTTGTCGTGGTTTGGGTCGAAAACGATTTTTACATGGGCTAGCATAGGGAAGGGGGTACGGAACGCCGTGACAGGCTCCGTACTCAAGACGGGGGACCAATGCTCTTAGCGATCCTGGCGGCCGAAAGTTTCAGTCACCATCCTCATTGTAACGGCATTTGCCTCAAGTTAAAGACAATTTTCGTTGTGGTTTTTGAGGTAAGAATATCGTTGAAGCAACGCATTTCGCCTTGTTTCAGGAATACTATTTTCCAGGGGTCCGTAATTTAACACAAAAGCAACTCTTAACGTTAAGTGAATCGTTTTCGTTTTACCCAATTACCCATAACGTGTTGTACGACAATCAACGTCTTCAATATCAATATAAAGTACCCCGTTATGTTTTTAACACGCATGTATTAGATGAGGAAAAGAACGTTATTTTTGTGGTCGTGTCTGCACTGGAAATGCAATATCAGTTACGAAATGCGCGAATGTTACCATTTGCGTTGAGTTTTCGGTTACACCTAAAACTTTATGAACACAACCTTTTAAAAATCGTCACTTACCGTAACTTAACATTTTATTTTTAAATTTTGATAAAATGTGCTACTAACAAGTGATGTTTGTGATGTCAAGTTACGGGCCCCTGATCCTAACCTATCTCTCGGACTTAACTGAGTATACTTAAACTAGCACTGTTAAAATTTGGGGGGGATTTCCCGAAGATTCACTTTCTACCACTATTAGAAATTCCCAGAGGACTCTGTTCTTAGTTTTTTGTGTATTAAAACAGATGTTAAAGGTGGAAGTTTTCATTCGTCTATATGTTATGAAGCTAAACTCGACACGTGAAATTACAGAGTTCTTTGGGACATCCCAAAGAACTCTGGCAATACTTTTCACGACTTCCTCCGTGAAATCCCAGGATTTTTTGTAACAGTCTGTCCGAGAGACATCGACCGTCTGATAGGGTTTCCCAGTGACCTATGCGAGAAACGAGTAGACAAAAATTCAGCCAAACCGGAGAGTTGCCGTTCTTAATTAAGGTTACTCGGGTAATTCTTTTAAAATTAGCCGGAGATTTCAGGGGGGGCAACCAGGGTAAAGTCAACCATACATTTCGTGAAGCTTATGACCTCTGTCACGAGACGCGGAACAGCATACACATATCTAAGTCAACAACATTACTTCTTACAACGGAACGTCTTACAAACCTTGTCTCCGAAAGTTCTAAACAAGAATTCCGCATAGTCGACGTATCTGTCAATCATTCCCGAATGGCCCCAGCCACCTGTCGTATTATCCACCAGAATCGGCTGGTCGAAATGAAGCATGGTGACCTGCCGACCAACAAGTCCAAGTGAATCTTTACGAAAAACAAAACGTCGTCGCCCTCGTGCAAGAACATGCTTTGTGTTTCGAGATGCCTGGACAACATTCTAGCTGTTTCCCGATGCCTGAAGACCATACTTTCTGTTCCGCCATGCAGAAAGACTTTCATCTTTTATGTTTTGGATGCCCTCTGTTTCCCTGTTTTCTTTAAATTTATAAGTTCGTCACTATTGGTTGCAGAGAGAAAAAATATGTTTATTCTTTCGCTAATGCTATCATTTTAGAAGGACAGCGCTGTGGAACGTAGAACGTGTCCAAAAACAGACAGGATTATCTTTTGGCATAGCAAAACGTATCGATCGATAGTATGTTAATTACGCATCGCGAAAACATAGTCTGTTCCAGCACGGAAGCGACGGCTTTGAATAACAGCAATCAGTAAGTAGTAAAGGATACCTATACTTTGTAATAGTTAAACACTGGACAAATAAAGGAGCTTGGGTGGTTAGATTTTTTTTTCACACAATCCTTCAAATGCTCAAGCCTATACGACCGCGCTCGTACAAAAGTTCGAACTACACATCACCTGATCTCGAGTTTTTAGACATTTCGCAAGTGTACAGTTAAGTGTACACTTGGGACATTACCGCAATCCTACATGAGCGAAGCCAATTACTCCACTGACCGGAAAAGCTTCATTCTGTTTGTCTGTCTGTCTGTACGCACAATAACTCGAGAAGGAATTGAGATAGCGATCTGGGATTTTCAGGTTACTTTTGTATCATAAAAAGACAGCTCGAGTTCGGAGTTGAGCATTCTACCCAGACAAGTATAAATTTTTTTTAAAAAAAACATTACTTGAGGGACCTGTGGTTTTTGATTTTTTTTTAAAAAATCCAAGTTTTGAGCTAGTATGCTCTTCTTCGAACTCGATCTGTCTTTTTATGATACAAAACGACCCTGGAAATCCCAGGTCGCTAGCTCAATAGGGTGTTCCAGGCAATCTAAAACGGAAGTAGGAAAAGAACAAACTCACTGACATCTCTGTTTCCGTAATGGCTCTGATTTGTCGAGCTTATCACGTGCCTCCGAGGTCTTTCAGGTATGAGAAACTGTCAGATCAGTTTCGAGCTCCCCTCCATATTTGAGAGGTTAGGATCGGACCAAACTGCCATGGTAGTTTCTCATACTAGGCGGACGGAAATAGATAAATCAGTGAGTTTGTTCTTTTTCACTTCCGTTTTAGATAGCCTGGAACACCCTATTAGTTCTCGAGTTATCGTGCGTACAGACGAACACACATACAGACAAACAGACGCGAAACTTTTTGATCATCACTGGAGTATAAATAGGCTTCGCTAATCGCTCAGCCAAAAAGGCTTCATGTCACTGAGTTGTAAAGGGAGTACACTTGGACCACACGTTACGGGTCGAACCACACCCTCTTTTGGGCTTAAGGGTCCCTAGATTATCTATCACTAAAACGTTGATTTTTACATAAATCTGACAATATTCGATTTTTGAATGAAAACCGTTACCGAACAGCAGAAGTTTCATGTCCCTAATTTTAGAGTAAGAAGACCCCGACAAACGGTTCGAGTATGTCAAATTTTGGGCCCGGAAGACCCTGTTCCCCTATTCCCTCTCCTTAACTCGTCTCGGGTGTCAGCGCCGCAGACCTAGCTATGTGTGCGCCAGGCGCGTCGCAGCGTAACAGTGTTTCGTGAGATATCGCGAAGCCTGTTACGCGAGACGTGGTCTGGAGTACATATAGCTAATATTTAAAAGCTAAGTATTGAAAGTAAAGGAGCTTACGAAAATTGAATATTCACTGCGATCAAAGATAATACACGGTCTAACTATGCGCGTATAGAAAACATAAGGAAAATAGGACCGGAAACAGTTCTGAATTCACAGCTAAAGCTAGTAAAAATGGATAAAGCCCATAACTAGGGGGTACTGGAATCAATAATGCATTCCGGTAGAGAAAACAGAAGTCACTATGTTAAAGCATATCGATTTCCGTTTCGACGCGTCCTACGAACAAAGTGCGATCTCCCCGCGCGCCGTTGAACGATGTCCGATCTCCTTTTCAGCTTTTATCTGCACCGTAGGCTTCAAGCCGTGATATCTTTGTTGATAGTTCACTAATAAGGAAACTAATAAATTCTTTGTGATCCTCAAAGATTACGCAACACATTGGGACAATAATAAAATGCTATAATCTTGACGAACAGACATACGAGGCGTTTAAAGTTCCATCTCGCTGCAAACTCTGAAAAAGGAGATCGGACAGTGTTGAACGGCGCGCCGGGAGATCGAACTTTGTTCGTAGCACGCGTCGTTTTTTTTCCCCTCATTCTTCTGCATTTGAGCTTCACCGGAATGCTTTATTTCCACAAAAAGGCTTATTTTTACTTACATTACTTTTTATGAATCAATTATTCCTACTGATTCTGGTACTGATTTCCTTATTTGTTCTGTAAATGCGGTCTTTTAAATGCGTTTACTAAGAATTTTTACAATATCGACTAATAATGTTATAATATCTATGAAACGAGTGAACAAAAAATCGGTTCAGACTTACCATGGGCTCCATGTTGTTGCTTATTACTTTATCAATATAGTCTTTATAGAACTGAACGCCCTTCTCATTAATATTGTCCACACCCCCAGTTGGAAGAACACGGGACCATGCTATAGAAAAGCGGTGCGATGTAAACTGCAATATAATAAAACAGTTCAGAACCTGAGACACAGCATGCGTAAGAAACGACGTAAGTCAATAATTTCGATATTTTTGTTTTTGACAGTATTTCAGAAACACAATCATTTTTGACAGATCGATTTTGAAGTTCTGCCCCCCCCCCCTTTTTGTTTTTTTTAACGGACCCGTTTCTGCCAGACAGTGGGGGGAGCGACATGGTTCAACACCACCTGTTGAGCAGCTGCACACCCACGCCCGTGTACCAGAGCAACAAATAGACACCTTGCTCTCTGAGGAGTCAGCCCCGTGGTCGGCCCCCCGCGCGCGCTGCGCGGCGCCCACGCCAAAAATTGTGTTCAATTATTAAAGTAATGATTAATAGGCTAAATCCACAAAAAAACAACGAAAAAGACACATTGAGAACATTCCATACAACAAGGGCGACAAAATTTTCCTAACCATGGGCCCGTTTTGCAGTTAACAAGAATTGTTAACGATTTTTTCAACCACGAGTTTCGACGTTGTAAAATTACGCTAGAAATGAAACGTACCTTCATTTCCTTTGCAAGGTCGAGATCCTCGCGAAATCTGTGGTAGTGATCGGCAGCCACACTTACGTTGTCCGAAAAAAGGCCGGGGAAATTCACAGCAAAGTCCATCATACTTTCACCTTTACCTGAAGTGTAGCGTAAACAGAAACATGTCATTATTTCTCGCTCACGTCTTGCCAGCTAGGGGAAGAAGTCCCAAATTTTTGTAAAGAATTTTGAAGCGCTGTAAGAAAGTTTGCATCGCAAACCATTTTCTTTTCATTGCGAATTGCAAACTATTAACTTCTGAAGTTCCTAAAAACTAGTTTGCTACGTTACGGACTAATTCGTCGCAACGTTACAAACAAATTTCTTTGTAGCATGTTAATAGTTAGCTCGTCGACGCATACTTCGAACGAAGTTCGATCTACTGGCGCGCCGTTTAGCACTGTGCGATCTCCGGGCGTGCTGTCCAACAATGTCCGTTGTCACGGCGTGTTGCTCCAATAAAGCTTGATGTCCTTTTCAGCTTTTATTTGCACCGTAGGCTTCAAACAAGAGTATCTTTGTTGATAATTTACTTAAAAGAAAACTAGCAGTAGCACATTCTATGTGACCCAAAAAGATCACGCAACACACGGTAAAACGAATGTCTTGAAATCCCAGGAAATTTCTAGGATTTCAAGGTCGGGTTGATAATTTCAAGATTGGCCCTTGAAATCCTAGATTCTGCCTTGAAACCCGTAGCTTCCAAGGAAAATCCTTGGAATTTTTGTTTGGTATTCAAGGGTTTTCCTTGAAGCACGATCTGGATGCTTCATTTGGACGAAAATTTCGTCTGTTTTGCTCTATCATATAACGTTTCGGCGCTATGGGGCATTTCTTGGCGGAAACAACGTGAAAAAGACAAAATGATCTATTAAATCGTAAAAAAGGCTTCATGCCACATAATTGTAAAGGGAGTAATACTTAAACCACACATTACGGGTCGAACCACACCCTATTTTGGGCTTAAGGGTCCCTAGATTATTCAGTATCACTAAAACGTTGATTTTTACGCAACAATCTGTCAAAATTCGTACTTTTAATGAAAACCGTTTAACAGCAGAAGTTTTATGTCCTTAACTGAGCAAAATTCTACTAAACACGGCTAAAAAAAGCCATAAATAAGCACTAATGAGCATGTCTCAGCTGGGCGACCTGGGGTGGAACGCCACGTGTGGCACATCACTGAGTGCCTTTGGACATGTAGATTATCGATAAATCAATTAAAATAACCGTATCGTGTAGTTTCGTTGTAAAATAACCGAAAATAAGGTATAAATATGTTTAAACATGTGGAATTTCACGCGTTATCGCGTAATCATAGTAGTGCACTTTTTACTAGAGTTGTTTCCCCCTCGACTTGTACCCACAATGTTTCTTACCGTCTTCTAAACTTGCCCCTTCAGACTGGAGAGCTGACACCCCAGCTCCCAGGAGAAGTCCCTTCGGCCAGACATCCTGTAGGTAGAATTTGTAATTAGATTTCTATACCCAAGACCCATTTTAGTTGAAAAATTATGAAATGGGTAATGATTTTTTTCCATTCGGTTTGCTTTCCCGTTTGCTAAGCGGCATAATTTTGCATCCAGTTTAACCCTGTCGTGATCAATGTTAGATTGAAATTACCATAAATTCTAGACTAGCCGGGTAAATCCAAGCAAAGCTGCATACCAACATTTGTTGAACTCTGGGCCGTAAGCTCTGCATGTGACGTTCATAATGAAAATATATTTGTGACCGAAAGGCTTCAGCTTTAAGGTGGTGCACCCGTTCGGCGTTCGGAAATATTTTGACCTAGGCAGGACTCTGAGATCATGTAGGTTCAAAGTACATTTTATGGATGGTGTCCTCAAGTTGAAAACATGTCGTAGCGTTTCCGATCTGAGGACAAATTTTGTCGAAGCTTATCAAGAATTTGTCCAGGCACTGTACATTGCTAACGAACAACAGGCTCGTAAATGCAAACCAAAATTATTGGCTGAGCGATTAGCGAAGCCTATTACTCCAGTGATGATCAAAAAGTTTCGCGTCTGTCTGTCTGTCCGTCTGTCTGTCTGTGCGCACGATAACTCGAGAACGAATTGAGCTAGCGACCTGGGATTTTCAGGGTCGTTTTGTGTCATAAAAAGACCGATCAGGTTCGAAAAAGAGCATTCTAGCTCAAAAATTGGATTTAAAAAAAATCAAAAACCACAGGTCCCCAAACTGATGTTTTTAAAAATATGGAGTTTTTGACGGAAATAAGCGAAAAAATGTACAACTCTGCATGCTTAGTCGAAGTGACGGGAAGTTCACGGGCCGGGGGCCCGTATCTTTGTGTTCATAATTGCGATACCTGACTCGGGTGTCAGCGCCGCAGGCCTAGGTAGATGTATGCCAGGCGCGTCGCAGCGCAACAGTGTTTCGTGAGATATCGCGAAGCCTGTTACGCGAGACGTGGTCTGGCGTACATCTACCTAGTTGGAGTTTACGAAGGATTTTGAAGCGTTGTATAACAAACTAATTCTTCGAAAGCTTACGAACTAATAGTTCGTCATGCAAACCGATTGTTCATAAGAACCTACAGCATGCGAGCGCCAGAGAAATCCTGACTCGAGATAAAGATAAACTACTCCTTCTCTAACAATGCGCAAGATTTTGGGGTTTGTAGCTGCACCAAGGCGTACTTAGTAAAAATCTCGTTTAGAATTACTCAACTATTCTCGGCGAGAGCCGCGGCAGGCTGCGCACTCCGAGAGATAACACATGAAAGGGATCGGAACGGTGTAGGAGACACACTCGGTTGGAAAATTCTTGCAATCCGAATCCGTGTTAGTCGTTTTCAAGCGTTTGCAAGCTACAGCGCACAGATTTTGCAGGGGAAGTACACTCAACGGGTAACAATCTTTGTAAAAATAAAATGAATTGAAAAGGCGTTCATAGAAAAAATTTCGTATAGAATTACTCAAGTGTTCCCGCACTTAGGGAGATAACACGTGAAAGGGGTCGTAACAGTGTATAAGACAGCCGGCACAGTTAGGAAACTCCGAAAGAGACGGATCATCACTCAGCATCCAGAATCTGGCGTGCTATCTCTTGAATGTTATAGGGGCTTTTTACAAACTACCTCACGCTACCGGAGAAATTGTTTACATCCTTGTCGCTGTTGTCTCAGTCACGATTTTGACGCTCCCAAGCCCTCCACGTGACGTCGCACTTCTACAATTCCTGGTATTCAGGTCGCAGCTCCCCGAAAGGCGCGCGCCTTTCTTTCGATACAAGTACTTGGTTTATCACTGCTGAGTGAGTCAGGTTGTGACGTAGGCTAACAGGTTCTACCGCACCCCTGTTGTCCTAGTTTGCCATGAATCCGATCAACCCCCCGCCTCCCCCTCTTTCCAAAATGTGTAATTTTCGACCAGCCCCTTCCATACATTACAGTAACTCTAGCGTAGCAGGTGTCTTCAGAAGTTGGTGCCCTTTTCGGCCCTCCCTCTAGCTTTAGAAAAGCTACCTAGCAGGCTTATGCAAACAACGTGTGTGTCGGTTTGTGTGTCTGTGTCTGTTCCACTACATGGAGATGTGCTAGAAAGCTCAAATTTTCACACTCTAAAAAAAAATTAATACAAAGATTTTTAATTTGGATATGCAGTTTTTTCAGCATCCATGATACAAAAAATCGTATTCTTTTGGATATAAAAATAAATTTGTAACGTGGATACAAAAATTTGTACCCATCGATACAGAATAAAACATTTTGTTGTATGGTCTGACACATAAGAAAAAGAGATTTTTTTCTCTTGGATGTCTTATTCTAGACGTTCCACTCTCATGACAGACGATTAACTTCAATGTAGTACTTTACCTTACCGGGATTTGAACCCCGAACATCTGGGTCGGGATTTGACCCCCTAGCCCACACGGCTAAGGCGACTACCTGCGAGCAGCCGTGCTCCGACCCGGTGTCGTTCTCACCCGTCTACTGGTTTGCCCCAGAGCCTTTCCCATAGCCATCGAGCTTTCAGATGGCAATTCTATGTTAATGCTTTAGGAACAGATTTTATTTTCCATGTTGCTGCAGTCAGTCTAACAGCTACTCGAATCGTGTCCAATTTGAACGTTAAATCGGCGAATCTTTGAACGTAAATATAGATTTCTGTTTCCATGTTACAGAAATTTGTATTCCGGTTACAGAAATTTGTAATCCGAATTCTAAAACTTTTAAAATAATATAAAATTTTGAAATAAATGTAGAATTTTGTATTGTTTACAAATTTTAAAAGAATATTACAAGATTCTGTATCATCATTACGAATTTCTGTATCACAGTGCCCGGATACAGAAAACTATATCGAATTTGATACAAAAATCTGTAATTTTTTTTAGGGTGCAGGGTATCTTGAGATTCAATCCTAGAAAACGAAGCGCCTACGGCAAATCCTAGCAACCATTCCTTAGCCTAGGGGGCTGAATGGGGGTATCAAAGAAAAGGGGAAAGACCAATCAAGTCAGAAAAAATGTTTGCATATGATCTCATATAAGAGGTAACTCGTGAAAGTACAACCCTTTGGGACTAAAAGTTTGTCCTTTCGGCTGTTTCCCTTACCGTTTGGGTGCTGGTAGTGCTTTTTCGACGAAAATACGCCAAATATGACCACGTTCATAAAGACGTACAAGAAGGTCTCAACTCGAAAAATGACAGGAAATAATATCCAAAGCAGCCCGTTCTGAATCAGTCCTTGGAATTGCCAATTGCCGTCTCTTTCATCGTTTCAGAGCTAGACAGCTCGATACTTAAGACAGTTGGAAAAATCCCAGTTTAAAGACTGTTAAAATAGTACAGCACCCAGAGAGAAATAGGTCGTGGAAATGACGTGGATTCCACGTGGTTTCGTGGACTTTGCGTGGTGGTGGATACATCCACCACCACCAGATATCCACCACTATTTACCTTTCTAAAAAGATGCAAATAAAATCAGAAGAAACCATTTTTGCATCAACATTTCTCACTAAATGGGATTTTTAGGCCCCCCCCAAGGGGGCCTTTCTGCTCGCGTGCGAGTGCTTCTTTTTCTTCCTCCGATTTCATTAAGGTAGCGCGACTTCTGTCGTACAGATTCTAATAAAATTTTATCGAAAAATCAATTCAAAAATTAGATTTCATTTGACTATAGCCTCATTACAATCCTTCTGGCCAATTTTGAGAAAATCAAAGTTAAACATCGAAATTTTCACGAAAATCGGCAAAATCCTGCCAAGCCAACAATGGTTCGCACTTCTAGCATTCTTTCTGTTAATCCCTGCGGCTTACATTTTCACTTAACAGTAAAACGTATGAGACAAAAATTTAAGACCGAAAATTAAGCTTCAGAAAGATATGTTCAAAATTTTCGTGCGACGTTCCAGACGAGAAGGACAGCAAGCTGAACAATATGCGACATTTACGCTTATTCTTCGTGTCTTGTTTTAAATTTCTAGTGCAGTTGGTGTTAATTTAAACAGGGTAATGTTAGCGAGCCGATTGTGCACCGTTCCTTAAGCTACCGAATAAGCTTTTTACCGACGCAGTAAGATATTTCAATCACAACTTCTACCGATTTAAAATCAAAGCTGCACAGTTTGTTTAGAAATGGGCGTGGCCACGAAAATCCTGGGTAAAGGAGGCGTGGCTTCTAACAATGGTACCAACCTTTGCAAACGAACTCGCTTCATGTTTTTGGTTCAAATGAATGATGTACTCTCCTCACTTTCATGTTCAACCTATCTCTAATACCCTTTTTTTAGCGTTTTCATGTGCGCTTTAGAGGTGGTTAAATGACATGTGTTTGGATAATTGTAACTATGAGTATAAGTTGGCATTGCTAGGGAAAGCCCAAGGAGCAGTTTCTATAAGGCGCTTGCCTCGCAGTTGGGTTTTGTTATTGTGGTGACTTCAGAACGAAGAGCCACAACACTAACCATCAAGTTTTGAAGACTTCGCTCTCTTCTAATTTTCAACGCTCACTCTGTTGAAGTGAATAATTGAATGATTATTTCTTCGTGTGCATACGATTGTTCGTTAAAACTTCAGGGGCCGATTAACGCGTTAGCGTTAGAATTTTTATTGTTCTAAATGCCATATTTTAGTATATTGCCAATTCGACGTGGAATCCACGTCGAATCGACGTGTATCAGTTCGTTTGTCGTGTACACGTCGATTCCACGTTGACGTCACGTCGATTGCCTCGAAACCCTTGATTTAGTTGCTCGTACCAGTTGGTCTCAAATACCTATGCTTCTCACTTTAAAACAGTGACAAGGAAACTGGTAGACTTTTATTCTGTGACAGAGCGCACGCTTTTCATTCGTCATCTTCATTGAAGAATACTGAGATAGTGTTCTTGACAGAACCCCTTTCATAATATTACGCCACGACACCACAGAGTTTCGTTTTGCACGGTAAAAAGAAGGCACCAGACGTTATTTACATTCGAAATTTCGTATCGTGTCTGTGGTCTTTTACTACAAATTACTACAAGAAATTAAACAAGCGTAAGTGAATATCATTTTTTTTACGTTTCCTCTTTGTATTATCGCATTGTTAGTAATTTCTTGTCGTGTAGGTTTTGTCTTCTGTGGACGTTGAGTGATATAGAGGCACAAGAGCATACTTGTACCAGAACTGCTGCCGTTAACCAAAGTCGGAAGGTAAGGAAGGTCTTCACTTCAAATTTCTCAGCGTGATTCGGTTAAATGTATTTAGTGTCGAGAAAAGATATCTAATCTCTGTCTTGTATTGTGGGCGAAGTATAGACGAGGTTAGTTTGGTTCTGGTTATCTTACTTAACCTCTCAGGAATGACTCGAAGCCTGAAGAAAAAAATTGATTACACTACAACTCAAAATTTGTTTGTTTTTTTCACCGAACTTTTCTGCTATTGTTACAACACAGTGTTATTGTCAGTGCATTGTTTTGAACTCTAGATGAGGTTACGTTGAAAGGCTTCTTAGCCAGAAATGGCATGTCGTAACGCCGTCATTTCGCCGTCGTTGGTCGTACCAGAGGTCCAAAAATACGTCGAAACGATGAATTTTTCGACAAGTCGATGTCGATTCGACGGAATATCGATACGACGTTTCTGGCTGGGTGTCTCTCTGATAGAGTGTGTTTTTTAAATTATATTCTTGTCGTTACTTTTTCAAATTCAAATGGTTGTTATAAAAAGTCTAACCACTTTCTATAACAATATTACCTCCATATTCATAGTAATTTAGTTTAATTTATTTTCAGGTGCTTTGGTAGATTGCAATAATGAAGGAGGTAGCAGGGGTAGTACCTTCTGCTGAAGAAGCCATTAAAAGCTGGCTGATAAATGCAGAGAAAAGACTGTTTATGTTTTTCTTTAAGTTGTGTTGCATCTAGTCATTGTTATTTTTGTTTTATAGATAAGGATTTATTTATTTGTGTTATTGTTTTCATGTTTCATCAAATAAAGTCAACATTCTACTCAAAAAAAACTGTTACTCTATGTACTGCCTACCCCTTACCTAACTATATAAATTGCAGAGTTATACCTAAATTTGAGATTCAGATCTGCATGTAGCACGTTTGTACGAGGAGACATTTACGTCGGAGCCACGTTGAATCGACGTGATCAACACGTCGATAAATCGTCAAATTCACGTGAATAACACGTGAATTCATCACGTGTTTTCCACGTATAACACCACGTCGATTCCACGTCTTTTCCACTAAAATTTCTCTCTGGGGCACAGTACAGTAAAGTAAATTTTAAAACAATTCAAGCTAAAAAATGCGGATTTCTTTTACTATTCATTTTCTAAGCACAAGGTTGGGGTCTAGTCACGGTGTCGCACCGTTACAGTCTTTTTAGCCCGCTCTTCTGCTTAAAAGCTATATAAGCGGGCTTATGCCATCGCCTCTGTGTTGTCTGTCTGTCCGTTTCCCAAGAAGGACGTGAGCTAGGGGTTTGAAATTTTCAGGGTATTATTGTTGTCACTTCTGGTCAACGAAACGGTTGGTGCAAATCCTGGCAACCACCCCTGAGTGGGTCTGAGGGGGTAACAAAGAAATAGGAGTTGGTCCAAGAAGTGGAAAAAAAATATTTTTTTTATGGTCTCCTAAGGGGTAACTCGTGAAAATAGAGCCCTCCGGGTGAAAATTTCGTCCGTTTGGCTCTATCTCTCACCGTTTAGGCGCTAAAGCGAGTTTCTCTCACGAAAGTGGCCCAAAAATAAATATATAAATTTTAGAAAATATTTGATGATCTCCTAAGGGGTAACTTATGAAAGTAGAGCCCTTTGGGCGAAAATTTTGTCCGTTTGGCTCTATCTCTCACCGTTTACGCGCTAGAGGGAGTTTTACCCACAAAAGTGGCTTAAAAATTAATAAATATATTAATTTTAGAAAACATTTGATGGTCTCCTTAGGGGTAACCGTTGAAAGGAGAGCCTCTTGGGATAAAGTTTTGTCCTGTTTACTTACAAAAGGGAGTTTTTCTTACCAAACTGGCCAAAACAGAAATATTTTTACTTTTACAGAAGTACACTTCTGTCTGAGAAGTATGCCGTTGGTTCAAAATTTTCTTCTAAGCAGAAGAGTGGGCTTATTTTATGGTGGGACATCATTAATAAAACGTGTACACTTCGATGCAAAAAAGCACAAAAAAACACCAAAAAAACATTTATTTGGTGTTTGAACACGTTCGGAGTCATTCAGAGTATGCCTGGAAGTATATTTAACTTCTTTTATGGCTAGTCTTATGTATCTTTTCATAGGTGTGTTATTTGATTCATAAGCTAACATCAATAACTTAGAAGGGATTTGCCATAACTTGCATGTATTCTATAAACTGCGGCACACAGAGCCAAAGATGTTCAGCGTATGAAAAGAATACTTCGTTTGTTGAGTTTTGATTACGAAGTAGACAGAAAAGGTACCTGGCAAAAAGATGGTCCAAAGCGAGCCATCACTCCAACGGGCCGAAGGCCCGTTTTCGGATAGAAGATGTATTACACCATGAAAATTCAGAAGGGACGGGCCGAAGGCCCGTTCCAAACGCCGCCGGCAGGCCAAGCTGGGCCCGCTCCCTGCCGAACCGAGTTGCCGGTGGAGCGAAGCGGAGCTGGCAACTTGGTTTGGCGGAAGAGCGGGCCCAGCTTGTTTCATGTCCAAGGAGTTATTCTCAATTTCGAAGCATTCTACCAAAGCGACTGAGACGGAGTCCAGCGCAAGTGCCGGTTTTAACACATCGTAGGCTATACAAGCGACCAAAATGAAGTGAAAATGAAGGAAAATGGTGACTGTATGGTGTGGTGACTGTAAGTGTCAACAAACAATATCAAACAGAAAAATCCGTCGATTCTAAAGTTGGGATTCTTAACTTTTGTCACGACTTTGAGGTCAAATCTCCCGCTGTGCTGCGCCTAAAGGTACGATGCAATGTAGTCCCGGTTTAAATGGGCCTGCACTATTAGTTATTCAACGGTAAATTTTACTGTAAGCTACGGTGAACCCTGCAGCACTAGCTTACAGACAATTTTCGCCACAAGCTGCGGTTAATTTTATTGTAAGCGGCGGTGATCCGTGAGGTATGGACGACAGGTCTATACCTCATGGAGGGAGGCATGTCTGTAATATAGATCAAATTTTCTGTAATACGGGCAATTCTACGTAAGCGTGTCTGTTAGGAAATGAGAGTGCTAGACGAGACCTTTTGCAAAGTACTAATACGCAGGTTAGGGATCGTACGCAAACCACGTGACGGGTTTTTGGTGGGTTTTGACCACCCCCCTCCCCCTCTGTGGTGGTCTGTGGTGGTTTCGGGGACCCCCCCCTCCCCCCTCCATATTCACGTGGTTTTCAGCATATGTGTTATTTGACGTATTTACGACTATATAGAGCATTTTAATAAAAAGTGTATGTTTGCTGGTAGTCAAAACTTAATTTCGTGGTGACTTTTTGATTAAACACCGGCAGATTTTAGTGATTTATCACGAAATAAACGGATTTGTGCTAGTCTTTCTCAAAAATATGCTTATTTTAGCATGTAATTAATAGTCACGTGACTTGGCCGAAACACCCCCCTCCCCCCTGGTGGTGGTGAGTGGTGTTTTCACAGACCCCTCCCTCCCCCAAAATGCGTCACGTGGTTTGCGTACGATCCCTTAGTGCTTAGGCACATATAGGTCATGCCGTGCTAGAAGGCGTTGGCTGATCGGCGCGGCGCCCGGCTCCCGGGGCGCTCTGTGGACTACAGCGCTCGCCGTTCAAATCTGGCTAGACTTTTGACGCATCTTTTGGTACCACGGCCATCGGTAGACCCTCCTCTACAATTCTAGACTAAAGTGGGGTCCATGCGATAAATGTTAAGCGGCGGGGCAGAGAGCTTCCTATGTCGCCTCCGTGTACTCTCTTGGTCGGTGTGTTTGTGTGTCTGTCATCACGATAACTCGAGAACGGTTTAAGCTGGGTACGTGAAATTTTTATTGTAGCTTTGTGTTACAAAAAGCAAGAACTTATTGATTTTGGGCCGTGTAGCTTAAAAATTGACCTGTCAGAAAATCAAACACAAAATGCCTTAAATATTTCTTTTGCAAAAAATATTAACATCTTTTTAAGAGGTAACTCGTCAATGTAGAATTGGTAGGGCCAAAATTTTGTTAAATGTTTTTTTCCTCAGATATTTGATGGTCTGCGGTGGGGTTTCTCGTGAGATAGACGATGTGACTCGCCGGCTATTGGTCAACGTGGAAACGTTGTAAAGCTTTCTCCTAGGGTCGCTAAACAGCCCATACATTCGTGTACAGGACGCCAAGTGCAAGTAAACGACATTTTCCTTGTTCGCAAGTATTTTTATGATTTAAATTCAAGTCACATCCCATAGTTTAAGTTGCAAATGTCAGGCAGTGCGACGTTGCCACATTACTTCTGCCACTGGGCTACATCGTCTATACGCCGTAACTCAACCCGCAGAGCTGTTTACCGGGTCGACCCAGGTAACCTCTGATCCCGGGGCTTCCTTGCCTTGGCACAGACCAACTAAAGGAAGTTGACCAGAGACGTTCCCTCCTGACCTGGTCAGCAGTATCAGCTCTCACTCTTGGCAAAGGGACCTTGGGCGGCGATACGGCGAGCGCAGCGCGCAGGTCGTGCAGCAGGCTGTGATGCTGGCCGGCGTCCTGGGGGGCGGCCACTAGGACCTGCAGGCACCTCAGGCACAGGAGAAAGACGAGCAGGGCGCCCATGGTGTCAGTGGCCTGGGGAGCTCGCCGTGTCGGCCTTTATGGACAGCGAGTAAGCCTATGAGTCACACACTTCGGCTGCCGCATAATGCAGGTGGCCACTTCTGTCTCTCAAGCACCAACCCTCGACGAGATTGATTCCAAGAAAACAACCGCGACACACGACACTTGACGCGGTGTGGGAGTATATCGCGCCTTAACTTCGTTACAAACTCGATTTGACGTATAAGTTTACATTCTTGAAAGTTTTCATATCAAAAGAAGACAAAACCATCTGTCTACACTGCTAAAAATATTTCTGTTAAATTTAATAACATTTTTGTGAAGCATTGACACAAACACTGCTTGTAAATTTAATAACATAAATGTTAAGATGGATTCAGAGTTCACAAGATGCGAGCGTGATTTTCACGCCGCTAGCGTGAAAAGAGTTGTTTTGGTTAGCAGTTGACGTTATGCGACAGCCAATAACAGGCTGCCGTGGGACCACGCCATTATTTTCAGCTGAATCAGCTTTGGAGCTAGCGTGATTTTTCACGCTTCCGGCGTGATTTTCACGCTAGCGTCTGCTAGCTGCGTGATTTTCACGCAGGCGTCTGCTACCAGCGTGATTTTCACGCAAGTTCGAAAGTGCACATTCTCGAATATCTCCCAAGCGCCCCTTCGAACTTGCGTGAAAATCACGCTGCTAGCAGACGCTTGCGTGAAAATCACGCTATAGCTCCAAAGCTCATTCAGCTGAAAATAATGGCATAGCCCCGAGTCGGCCTGTTATTGGCTTTTGCATAAAGTCAACTGCTAACCAAAACAGCTCTTTTCACGCTAGCGGCGTGAAAATCACGCTCGCATCTTGTGAACTCTGAATCCACCTTTATGAAAAGTAATATCCATTGTCGACGCGTCCGTGCAACAATATCCTATCTGTTTCGCTGCCCCGGAAGAATAGCCTATCTGTTTCGCTGCTCCGAAAGACTAGCCTATCTGTTTCGCTGCCCCGAAAGACTAGCCTATCTGTTTTTCGGCGCTTTCTGCAGCGCTGTCTCTTTCTTATTGTGAGTTTGCCAATATTAACGGTAGAAAAAAAGTAAGAACTGCTGCGTGTTCCTTAAAGATCAAGGAACAAATGGCAATTTTTTATTTTTTCCAACCGTTAATATTGGCAAACTCACAATAAGAAAGAGACAGCGCTGCAGAGAGCGCCGAAAACCAGATAGGCTAGTCTTTCGGGGCAGCGAAACAGATAGGCTAGTCTTTCGGGGCAGCGAAACAGATAGGATATTGTTGCACGGACGCGTCGTTGTGTTTTTAAGTTTCATAACAAGTGTTGTAAAAAGTAAAAATGAAGAATCCTTGTTGTGAAAACTCACAACTCGCGTTGTGAAAATTGAGAAGTTTTGTTGTGAAAAGTAATAGTAGTATGCATGCCTTCCTGTCCCGGTCCGCCATTGTTATTCCTTAATGTCCCGGTCGCCATCTTGGGGGCCTCTAACCTAACCTAACCTAATTTTGGGGGTATCTTGGGGGTGCCTAACCCCGTACCTTTTTTTGGGGGGTGTCTTGGGGTGTCTAACATAACCTAACTTATGTTTAACAGTGTCTTGAAGGGGCTTAACTCGTACCTAGATTTAGGGGTGGCTTTTGAATGCCTAACTCGTACCTAAGTTCGGGAGTGCAAACCCACCCCCTCCAAAAAAGAGGATCGACGAAGGGGTGCAAACCCACCCCTAAAAAATCGAGGATTGAACGAGGGTTGCTAACCTACCCCAAAAATATCGAGGATCGATGGAAGGGCATAAGTCAAGGGTGGTAACATAACCTAAGCGTGACACGTCACGACGCGTATGGCTAACCTAGAAACAGGTTGTAACATGTCGCCCGACACCGGTCAAAACAAGTTAGAGCGCCTATCCACCGCCCGATGTAGCCGCCCGCCGCCGCCCACCGCCGCGCGCCGCCGCCGCAAGGTAGCCGTCGAGGAGTCCACCCGCGCACCGGTTAGAACGCGTAGCTACCGGCCCGGGGCCCGCCGCGCCCGGGTGAGGTGGCCGTCGAGGAGTCCGCCCGCGCACCGAGGCCGCCGTGGCCGCCGCCGTCCGAGGCCGAGGTAGTTGTCCGCGCACCGGGACCGCGAGGAAGCCGCGGAGGAAGCCGCTATGCGCACCGCGGCCGCATGGCACCCCTTGGGTGTCAGCCTTAAACATTTAGAGGGTGTGCAGTCTGCCTACTGGGAAGATCGTGTGGTTTACGTTATACATTTAGGGTGCGATACCAGCCGCGCGAGCTAAGGACACTAGCGCCTCCTATTGGTGACGAATCCTGCTCTCAGCCAACAGTGGCGCTAGATTTAAATTACCTTTCATGACTATTTTTATTTAGCATTTCCACGCGCGCCCAGGAGGCATGCTGACACGCTCGTTAGAATTTTTAACGGAAAATCCTATCCCCCTCAAAAGAGGCCTATACAAAACCATT